TTATTTTAATTTTTGCATGGGGCACAGGCTGACCAGTAGCCGTCAAGGGAAACCCAAGCCTCTCTGGTCATGATTGACAGTTAAAGTAACTGGAGATGTGATGCTTTGTTGTTGTTTGCCTAAACCCTTACCTGGCAAATGACCTTGTTGAAGTATGTTAATGGTAACAATCTTACTTGGACTATGCATTAAAGCCCCCATTTGAGTTAGAATATCACGTCTCCATAGATTAACAAGTAATGCAGCCAGAATATAGGGGCGACAGGCTCCAGCATTACCTGATTCATCCTCCCATTGCAGCAATTTGGAACTTTGTGCTAATCTCTGACTCCGACCAATACCTCGCAATTGAGTCATGGTAATTTCCTTTCTCCAATTTGTGGGCCAGCTTGCTGCTGAAATAACAGAGACATCAGCTCCAGTATCTAGGAGACCACTGAATAACTTTTTATTTAGTTTTAAGAAAAATTTGGGTCAGTCTTTAGTTATGGGTTGTATCCAATAAGCATCAGATTTTGATTTTATGTCAAAGAAAATAGACTAATAGTTTTGTAAAAAATTTCTTCTTCCCATAACATTTTGTAACTTTCTCACACTTTCTGTAACTTACTCAAACCTTTTTTATCTTTTTTTTTTCATTCCAGTATAAACCAGCCATTAAGATAAACAATTTTTACAAACCATGTCCTTCCTTTATTTAAAAATCTCTTTTCCTTTTAACTTTCCTTATCAAGAACACACTTTTATACTTGTGACCTTTTACTCAAAGTGATGGTATCCCTGACTGCAGCAGTCAATGGGGGAGTAACTGTTCAATTCCCTGTAATCCGCAGTCATTTTCCATGTTTCATCTGATTTCTTAACAGGCCAAATTATTCCTTTTAGTGGTTATAGGAATCATCACTCCAGCATTAACATAATTTTTTACTGTTTTAGATATTTTCCCATGTCTACCTGGAATTCTGTATTGTTTACACTGAATAACCTTAGTTGGCCCTGGCAGCGGTACAGGAACTTGATATAATTTTTTTACCACTACCTAGCAGTTTGACTCCAAAGGGCAGCATTTTCTGTTTTCCAATTTACATTTATCCTGTACTGCTTTTTTTAATTGCTTACACATGCATCAGTATGCAGATAACAAAGTCCATCCTCACCTCCCCAAAGCCTATAATTCATTCCCCTTTTCTACCGGCACCGATTGCAAAACCTCAATAACTTGTGGAGACTGTGCACTCCGTAACTTGCCATCCCAATTCTCACTCAATCCTGAGCAGAGAGCCTATTCCTTCACCAAAGAGGCCAACTGAGGGTCTTTCCAGCCAGGAACATCACAGGTTACACATGCAACTTCAGTTTTCTTTTTAAAGAAAGGCATTGCTTTGTATACTTGTGGATCCTGCCAACTACGCCAATTTGTGACAGCTGTCGCTCCCCCTCTTCGTGGAGGAGCAACACAGGACCCTGCGCTGTTCTTTCGTCTGCTCGGCCCTCCCCGGGTTTGCTGCTGTTCTTCCCGGGTTGGCTACTATCCCTTCCACCTCCGTGGAAGGGCAGTTCCCCCTGGCCACATTCCCCACTTCCGCAGGGGAGCGGCCACCGTCGGCCGGCTTTCTCGGGGGCTGCACGGGTTCCCTTAGATGTTCCCCATAGATGTTCCTGGTGCATGCCGTCTCTCTCCTCCTTTAGTCCTCCTCCGCCAATCCCAACTCGGCTGCCCACACGCCGAGTACGCCGCTCTCCAATCAGGAGCAAGTCCTACAGTTTATTGGTTGAACTGGAGGCAGCTGTGCGGAAGCTGTTTACTTCTCTCCCAGCACCATATGTGGGAGAGCAGATGCATAGAATAAGTCTTAATTCCAGTAACTCAGTCCAGTCCGGATTGCTCCCCACAACAGCAAATTATTTTTCAGCTGTCTGCTGTGCACAGACTTAGTTACTTTTAGTTTAATCCGCAAGAAATACGCTGCAAGCCTTGGAGTGCACACTAAAATTATTTACAAGAAAGATGGTAAAGGAGCATAGATTAACAGAATGTTGCAATACACATGGCTCCATTGCTTGAATGATACTATAGCAAGACGGTCCACTGATCCCTGTAGGGAGGGCCTGAGGCTGGCCCCGCTTCCAGTTTCCTGAACTCTGTTCTTTAATGGATTGCCTTCTTTATCAGTTTTGGAGTGACATTCATTGGCCCAATGCCTTCCTCTTTTGCACTGGGGGCAAATCCCAGGAGGAGCCTTATTTTGATTGTTGACTTTTGGACAATTTTTGTACATGTCCCTGCTGCCCACATTTATAGCACCCTCATTATCAGGCATAGCCCTCCTTGTTGATTTTTGTAATGACGTACCATGTAGAGTGGCAGGTCCTGAATGTCCTGTTATTAATTCATTTTGTTAATTTCTTATCAAAGGGACTGTCACAGAACACCTCAGTCACAGTAGCCAATTGATCCATGTTCATATTGTACTTATGTTTTGTAGAATTTACAGCACTGTGGGCATCACTAGGCAATCTTCACACAGCTCCAGAAAAGGATCCATACTGAGAATTAAACATCATTAGTAATCATTACGGGCACATTTAACGTTTAGCTTGACTGCGTGTTCCCCCGGGATGAAACAGCAGCAGCAGAGGCTTGCTCCAGCTCCCCCTTAAAGCCCCCAAGGACAAGGGTGGCTCATTGCCAAGATGTTAGGCAAGCAGTGCGTCCCGTCCCGGATCTTGGCCAGAGAGCCGAGACACGAAGCATGCCCACCTGTTTATTAGAAACATTCCTTTATCCTCCTCCCTGGGAACTGGCCAGGCTCCCAAAGAGCAGGAGAAGGTCATTCGGCAGCAAAGTTACTTGTTTATTAGAGCCAAACCTAGATACAAGCCTCTCCATCCCAAATATCTGTCCTTACATTTGGCCCTAGGGTTGCATTGAGAGGTAGACATAATTAACACATCATAAGAATACAATACAAATTTCTCATACAAGTAATACATCCAGCAATCAAACACAATAATATTCAATGTGTTTTAAGGATAAATTGAAACATATCTGAGGGGGAATTAACCTCTTATTATCTGTAATTATTACATTTTGTAGGTTTGTGGAATCTTAACTATTTGCATATTTTGATTTACATTTTTTTTTTTTTGACAGGCAGAGTGGACAGTGAGAGAGAGAGAGACAGAGAGAAAGGTCTTCCTTTGCCGTTGGTTCACCCTCCAATGGCCGCTACGGCCGGTGCACCGCACTGATCTGATGGCAGGAGCCAGGAGCCAGGTGCTTTTCCTGGTCTCCCATGGGGTGCAAGGCCCAAGCACCTGGGCCATCCTCCACTGCACTCCCTGGCCACAGCAGAGGGCTGGACTGGAAGAGGGGCAACCGGGACAGAATCTGGCGCCCCGACCGGGACTAGAACCCGGTGTGCCGGCGCCGCTAGGCGGAGGATTAGCCTAGTGAGCCGCGGCGCCGGCCCTACATTTTTTTGTAAAGCAAACCAAGCATAATCTGTCCAAGCATTCCTATCAATAATAGGGGTAGAGTTAGTACATAATACAAAAACAGAATGGGTAGTCCGGACACTTTGTTACCACAATTCCTCATTTCACATAGTAATGTTAACTTTATAACAGATAACATTTACTTCAAATGAAATATTTAAATGCAAGGTGAAGGCTGTCCAGTGTACACTGATCTATATTTTTTACTCCCAGTGTTTCTTATCCACAACACCCTCTTCAGCAAACCAAGGACTAATTGTTTCAACAGCACTGATAAACTGCTCTACGGTTTGTTTCTTTAACCCTATTCTCTACATCTGTGACAAAGTTTTCACAGCCTTTGTCACGGCTTGCTTTGTTTCTTTAAATGCACATTTAAATCTTTTCCGAGCAAATCCCAATGTTGCTCATTCACGACTCCTTCTGCGAACCAAGGACTGACTATTCCTATAGCATTAGTGAACTGTTCTATGGCTCGCCTTTTTTAACCCTTGCTCCTCGCGCCTTGAGTGATGCATTTAACCCCTTCACAAAGAGTTCCTGCTTACTTAGTGTTTGTCCCATAGTTTCGTCGCTCTACTTACCCTCGTAGCCTGTATTGCGGACGGGTCAGGATGCAGTGGCTACTATGCAGGTCTTCACTCGCCTTCTCCGGGCCTGTATCACAGATGAATTGTCTGTGGTGTGTGGGGAGCAACTGAGACTACACTAGGTTACTGGAATTAAGACTTATTCTATGCATCTGTTCTCCCACAATATGGCGCTGAGAGGGAGCAAACAACCTCTACGCAGCTGCCTCATCAGTTTGACTGATAAGCTGCAGGAGCTGATCCTGCTCCTGATTGGAGGAGAGCAGTGTGCTCGGCGTGTGGGCAGCAGAGTTGGGATTGGCGGAAGAGGACTATAAAGGAGGAGAGAGACACTACGCACCAGGAACATCTGAGCAGCCCCCGAGAGAGCCGGCTGGCGGTGTGCTGCTCCTCCGCGGAAGCGGGGAAAGTGGCAGGGGTGCCGCCCCTCGGCAGAGGCATGGGGGGGGGGCAGCAGCTAACCCAGGACGGCGTCGTTCCTCTGTGAGTGGGGGAACGGCAGCAAACCCGGGAAGGGCCGAACAGACAAAAGAACAGCGCAGGGTCTAGTGTCGTTCCTCCGTGAGAGGGGAAGCGACATGGTGGCTCTTATGAGATGAGGCGGCAACCTAAATGAAACAGCCGGCTTTTCCAGCGATGTTCAGCTCAATTCCTGTTCCCCATGCCCCACGTTGGGCGTCACTTGCCCCGGCCCGCGGGGTAATCAACTAGGACCTGAGGAGGGCAGACCTGAATGGAGAGACAAACCAGACACGAGAAGGGAGACCAAGACAGTACTCTGATCAAGGTCTCAACTTTATTGGAGAAGGAGGCAGCTTATATAGTACAAGGCAAGAATTGTACAGTTGAGGGTAAGCAGGGGTCATCTCACAACATAGATCAAAGGAATAATTTCACAGGAACCAGTGTGGAGAGCCATTGCACCGTGCCCTAAAGATGGCGCCGGCTCCTTTCTCCTGGAAGGACTGGCGAGAAACAAACAACTCCTAATAAGGAGATGGCTGAGCTCCCTTCTGGCTTCCGCATTGCTGTACCTATCAATCCTTGCCCCTTGGCTGCTTTTGATTGGTGTGCTGATGGCTATAAGAGGCATGGGAGAGGGAAGGAGGTGGAAGAAGAAGCTTGTTCAAGGTTCCTGAATAAACTGCTTGAAGAAGAGTTCGGGTCGTGTCTTCCTTGCTGGTCGAGGGACGCGACAACTGGTGGCCCGTACGGGGAACCATCTCGAACGTGAACTCAGAACTTCCTGCAGTCAGGGCAGCGCTGGTAAGTCCCCCAGGAAAATAAGGTGGGGATCCGCTATAAGAGCGGGCAGTCCTGTGACAATAGCGGGAGGATAGCTCTGCGATTAAAGCAGAGGAAGTTCTGCGACAAAAGCAGAAGGAGCTCTGACCCGTGGCCAGGGAAAGAGCGCAATTTTTGACGATGGGTAATTCACAGTCCCATCCAATTTTTCTGGCGCTGAATGCGCTGCTTTGAGAAAACGGTTTGAAACTTAAGCCTAGTACATTGCATAGGTTTTTACGTAACTGCAATACCATTGCACCCTGGTATGGGGTTTCGGGAAGCCTTACTATCCCTTCAGGGGACAAACTAGGCAGGGATTTGGATTTTGCATTCGAACAGGGTAATCTCGAAAGGGGAGTGAGACCAATATGGAAGTTAGTGCGAGCATGCCTTCGAGGATGAGCAGGTATAGTGAAGCTATTCTGAGCGGTCAAGCTGCCTTGGAGGAGCTTCAGGAAGAGTGCTCCGAGAGAGCTGCCAGTGAAAAAGGGAAAACTTTGAAGGAGAGTCAGAAAAGAACTAGGAAAAAACTGTACCCCGATCTTTCCGAGTTGCGCAGCCCCTCCTCAGTAAGTACTACTAGTGCAGAAAGTAGCTCAGAAAGCAGCAGTGAGTCTGAAGAGTGTGGTGATAACAAAGAGTCTGATATAAAGCAAGTATGGGAATTGAATCGGCAAATGAGGATTTCCAAAAATTACAGCCGCTGAGCCATTACCAGGTGCTCCAAATATATTTACGGATGGGTCAAAAACAGGCTGTGGGGTTTATATGGTAGAGGGTAATGACCTGGTATTTCATCAGTTTCAGCCAGGCTCACCTCAAGTTGTGGAATTAAAAATAGTTATTGAAGTCCTTAAGCAGTGCTCTTTTGCCTTTAACTTGTTGTCAGATTCCTTATATGTGGTGAACACATTAAAGATATTGGAAACCGCAGGACCGATTAAACCTTCTAGCCCAATTGCATCCCTAACGTCAGGTGATTGCTCATTGTCTGGATGCATGGGCCGCCTGGGGGAGACCCCAGGTGCTAAAAACTGATAATGGCCCAGCCTATACATCTCAAACCTTTACCACCTTTTGCCAAAAAATGGAGGTTCAACTTGTCCATGGATTGCCATACAATCCTGAGGGCCAGGGCATAATTGAGCGAGCACACCGCACACTGAAAGAATATCTTTTAAAACAAAAAGGGGGATGTGACAGGCCAGGAGAAAGAGAGAGGAAAAATTCCACAGGTATCTTGACCTAGAGAAAAGTCTTAATTCGATAACCCTTTCCAACTTGATGGGTTTTTCTCTTTACAGTTAATAAAAACTTAAGCAATGGGCTCATACGCTGATAATTCTTTTCTGTGCTGCTGTAGCTAACTTATCTAATGAGAGTTTTCATGTGTCTTGAAGGTTTCACATTTTTCTATTGCCAGTATGACTCTTGATTGGAAAAACTGCACCATGAAGCTGTTTACGTTATATCTTTAATGTTTGAGTGATTACCTAACTCTGATTAGATCTAGTCCACAGCCTTGGTTAAATGTACTAATTTTTGACTAAAATGGTTTGACTCTCTGATAGTTTAAATTCTAAACCGAGTCTTTCAACTTTGGGGCTTCCAGTTGGATCCCTGGAACTCTCAAAGGATGGGACTCTAAATTTGTTAAAGTAACAGCTGTTTGAGTCAATTCAAATTATACAAAGTGTATTAAAATGTAGTAAATGATGTCAAATCTATGTTGTATTCATGTTTTTGCTTTTCAGCTAGAGTAGTCTTATAAAAATGAGAGTAAATTCTGTGTATACAAGCCTTTATGTTGTTAACTCAAGTAAGCCAATACAGATTGGTTCAGAAAATTGGGTTAATGCAAACGCCTTTGGTTCACTTGCTCAGTTTTACATTTACATGTCTTTGATATGCTTTAAACTTGTTTCTCTTAAGGATGAAGATCTTTTCAAAGTTGTAAATATGCACTAGTGACTGTTGCTGCCCAAGTGGTGTTATCCTTATGTTACTTAAAAGCATGGAAATGTAATTTTGACTTTTAATTCAGATAATGGTGTGGTATTCATTAATAGCTCAGTGTTTTAAGTTATCCAGGCATTCGGTGCTAAGTAAAATATGGAAAACGTATTATGTGTACTTTTAACATCTTAAATTTGATAAGAGAGACTTTTAAGTTTGCCAGCATGTATTCTCATAGGTTGTCCATACATGATAATTCAAGACTGTAAAAGTAACTACAGGTATAAAGTTTCAGAAGGTGTGAGCAAGTCATGAAAAGTTGTAAAAAGTTTACGATTTTAAAACATTGTTTACAGAGTTTTCTATAAGTTAAATGTTAATGCCAAAATTACACTAACCTAAAGTTGAAGTCTGATCTTCTGTTATAACAGTGGGATTTTTTAAAATGTGTACTAATGTTAGTAATTATCTGGAAATGGTCTCAATTGTAAATCTTAAAATCTGTTGTTGCAAAAACTGTAACGTCTCTTTTTAACACTACTGTCTGTTAAGTTATGATTGATAAAAAGTATTAAGTCTTAAAAAGTTATGTTAAATATTATGATCAGATCTGGTCTAAAAGTGTTAAAATCGCCCTGACTAAATGTTAAGGAATTCTATTTTGACCAGATACTCTAAGTTCTCTTGGCACCTTTAACAGACTTTCTGAAAATCAAAGTTCTAAATTCTCTGGACTTTTGGTATCTCCAGAGGGCCCCTGGAGATGTCAAAAGATATATCTCTCATCTTGCAGAGATAATAACCAATCGGGCTGTTTAGATTAAAAGTGGTGCCAAGATGTGAAATGATGCTAAACTTCAGCTATAAACGTGTTTCTTTCTAGCTGCTCCAGTCTCTGGCTCAGAAGCCAGATCCTTTAAAGAAGGACTGACAAAGTCTAAGAAGCGTCCCAGTGGTCATGATTTGCATCACCTCAATGTCCCAAACCTTACTGATTAAGATATGGAATCACCCGGGAACAGGCAAGGCAAATTGTAAAATCCTGCCCTTCCTGTGTCACATTTCTCCCAGGTCCCTTATTATGGTGTAAATCCTAGAGGTTTTATGCCTAATCAGCTTTGGCAGATGGATGTTACCCATTTTCCTGAACTTGGTAAACTAAAATACATACATGTCTCTTTAGATACATGTTCAGGTTTTGTTTTTGCCACCCCGCAATGCGGCGAGGCTGCCAAACATCTCTCATTGCCTTCAGGCCTTTGCTGTTCTAGGAACCCCTATACAGATAAAAACTGATAATGGCCCAGCGTATACTTCCAACTCTTTTAAGCACTTCTGTACTAACTTCCACATCTCTCATCACCGGGATTCCTTATAATCCCCAGGGACAAGGTATTGTGGAACGAGCACATGCCACATTAAAAAATTATTTACAAAAAATAAAAAAGGGGGAATACGGGACCATGGCATATTCCCCACAAAAATGGCTATCACATGCTCTTTTCATTTTAAATTTTCTAATACTGGATAATCAAGGGAAAACTGCAGCTCATCGTCACTGGCATCCTGAAACCAAAAGACAACAAGTCTATGTGAAGTGGAAAGACCCTCTAACTGCTCAATGGTATGGACCTGACCCTGTTTTAATATGGGGACGTGGACATGTTTCTATATTCTCGATGGTTACCTGAGCGACTGGTGCGGCAAACAGACAATGTCACAAAGCAGCCCCTTGATCTTCATTATGATAACATTGCTGATTGGGATCGTTGCTGCAGCCGTTATAACCGCCATTTCCATTGCAGCTGTGGGCGCTACAACAGCTGCTATAGCGCTCACAGGGACAGTTCAAACTGCTAATACCCTGAATAATTTAACGGCCTCCATGGCTGCTGCTTTGGATACTCAGACATCCTTAAATGCACAAATAAAGGGAGGCTTGATGATTGTTAATCAGCGTGTGGATTTGGTACAGGAGCAGGTGGATACTCTCTGGCAGCTTGGATGTGAGTGGAAATTTTCAGGGTTGTGTGTGACCTCTGTTCAGTACGATAACATGACTCAGGCAGCAAATTACTCTAAACATTGTCTCAGATGCTCTTGCAGAATTGGTCTGCGGAATTTGACTACACCTTGAAGCAACTGTGCCTTGCCGTGGTCACCATCAACTCCACACGTGTGGATGTCTCCTTCGCATCTGGATTGTCATCCTGGATCCGCACAGCCGTCTCCAACCTGAAGGAGTGGGCGGGACTTGGAGCTTTGACGGGGTTGCTGTTACTTGTTGTGTTATTTTGCCTGTGGTGTTTGTGCAGGATGAGGACAGCTCATCGGCGGGAATTGGCCATGATAGCTCAAGCCTTTTATGCCCTTGAGGCTGGACAATCGCCGCAAGCATGGCTGGCCTTTCTTGAATGCTAGGCATGGGTGCAGGGTGCGAGGCAAAGCACTGCAGAGAACGAGCCATTACGTTCTCTGGAAGGCAAGTCTGTCTGCATGTGGGTTGGCATCCCAGATCCCACCCCCGCGAAAAGGATGCTGTTCCAGGTGGATGCCTGGCAGTGGGGGACAGACCCCTACCTTCTCCTGTAATCCTTAGATGCCTGGTTCTAAAAAAGGGGGAACTGTGGGGAGCCATTGCACCGTGCCCTAAAGATGGCGCCGGCTCCTTTTTCCCGGAAGGACTGGCGAGAAACAAACAACTCCTAATAAGGAGATGGCTGAGCTCCCTTCCGGCTTCCGCATTGCTGTACCTATCAATCCTTGCCACTTGGCTGCTTTTGATTGGTGTGCTGATGGCTATAAGAGGGATGGGAGAGGAAAGGAGGCGGAAGAAGAAGCTTGTTCAAGGTTCCTGGATAAACTGCTTGAAGAAGAGTTTGGGTTGTGTCTTCCTTGCTGGTCGAGGGACACGACAAACCAGTATCAATTTGACAAAGGGAGTTACAGCGAGGTCTTACAGCTACCAGATGTGCTTATCAAGGTACAAGAAAGAGAGCACTGAAGCCAGATGGCCAAGCGCTAACCATATCAGTGAGCTGTACAAATGGAATTTTCTAGTGAATCCTCCTTACAGGAACACAGCTGAAGGTTAGTTTAAGCAAAGGCTTATACAGGGAAACCAGCACAGTGGCTCCCAACACATGTGTGGGAGGGGTCTTCAGGAAGTGTAGTCTGTGGAGGCCTGTGCGGGAGCCCCGGCAGCCCCTCAGCCCAGCTTCCTGCTAGTGCAGGCAATGACTCTGGCTTTGCCCCATGTGCCATGCCTCTGGCTGCCACGGGCATTTGGGGGGATGCACTAGTGCGTGGGAGTTCCTCTCTCTCTGTGTCTCTCCCTCTTTTTAAGATTTATTTATTTGAAATGCAGAGTCAGAGAGAAAGATATTTTCCATATGCTGGTTCACTCTCCAAGTGGCTACAACTGTCAGCACTGGGCTGAAGCCAGGAGCCAGAGGCTTCATCCGGGTCTCCCACGCGGGTGCAGGGGCCCAAGCACTTGGGCCATCTTCCACTACTTTTTCCTGGGTGCGTTAGCAGGAAGCTGCTTCGGGAGTGGAGCAGCCAGGATTTGAACCTGTACCCATATGGGATGCTTAACCCACCACACCACAACACTGCCCCCAGAGTTCTCTTTCTGCCCCTCAAAAAAAAAAAAAAAAAAAAGACTATGCATAGATTTTGATTTTTTGCACCAAAATAAACTTGTCCTAATTCCATTTCCTGAGAACCATTTTGAAGTATTCTTATACTAATGTACATTTTATTTATCCTTTTAAAATTTTTATTTATTTGAAAGTCAGAGTGACTGAAAGAGAAAGATCTTCCATTCCTAATGTCTCCAATAGACAGGGCTGAGCCAGGTTGAAGCCAGGAGTCAAGAACTCCATTTGGGGGCTGGCGCTGTGGCGTAGCAGTTTAAGCTGCTGCCTGCAGTGCTGCCATCCCACATGGGTGCCAGTTGGAGTCCCTGTTGCTCCACTTCGATTCAGCTCCCTGCCAATGCCCCTTGGAAAGCTGCGGAGAATTGCCCAAGCCCTTGGGTCTCTGTACCCACATGGGAGACCTGGAAGAAGCCCCTGGCTCCTGGCTTTGGCTTGGCCCAGTGCTGGCCATTGAGGCCACTTAGAGAGTGAACCAGCAGATGAAGAGCTCTCTCCCTCTCTCTGTATATCCATGCTTTTGAAGTGCATAAAATAAATCTTTTAGAAATTGCAAAATAAAATAAAAAGAACCCCATCTGGGTCTCCCAAGTGGAGGGCAGGAGCCCAGGCGCTTTGGTTGTCTTCTGCTGCTTTCCCAGGGGCATCAGCACGGAGCTGGATTGGGACTCGAACCAGCACAAGCAGCAGCTTCACCCACTGTGTTGCAATGCTGGCCCCTATTTGCCATTGTTGATGGACTAGAAGCCCTAGGAAAGCAGGGGCCATGTCCCCTTTACTCAAAACTCACCCACCAAAAGGCAAAAAAGAAGAAATTTTAAAAGCAAGTTAAAAAGTGATATTTTTCATGTTTAATGAAATGGTTAAAATGTCCCTTCCCATACCTAGCATTCTTGCTGCGGAAAGTCTGCCTCCCAGGGCCGGGGCTGTGCTGTAGCAGGTTAAGCCTCTGCCTGCCGCTCCCTTGCCTGCAAAGGAATGACACTGTTCACAGCTTATCGGTCTTCAGCAGACTTTTAATGGGAAAATAACAGGGAGAGAGAAAGAATGAAGGGAGGAGAGTGGACAGGAAAGCCCCCTCCTTCCTCAGCACACAGCTTATATACAAAATCTGGCCAATTGCAAGCGGGCTCAAGTCCATGCATGGAACACTCCAATCCGTTGTCTGTTCACGCAGTGTGCACGCGTCCTCGGGCCAATCAGATGAGGTGTCACGCAGCAGGTAGGCTCACCGCGCAGTCCTCGGCGCCATCTTGTTGTTTACAACATTCTCAACTCCTCTGGAAAGTCCCGACCGTGGGAAAGCATTGCCCTAACCGAAACTAGCAACATTCGCCTTGTGATAAAGACACAGCAACAGCTATCAGACCGACCTTGACGTGGGGGCTCCATGGCTGCCCATCCCATGGAGCCCCACATCTGCCTGTGGCACCAGCATCCTATATGGGGGCCGGTTCATGTCCCGGTGTTCCATTTCCGATCCAGCTCTCTGCTATGGCCTGGGGAAGCAGCAGAAGATGGCCCAAGTCCTTGGGCCTCTGCACTCATGGGAGACCTGGAAGAAGCTCCTGGCTCCTGGCTTTGGATAGGCCCAGCTCCAGCTGTTGTGGCCATCTTGGGGGTGAAACAGCCCCTGGAAGACCTTTCTCTCTGTCTCTCCCTCTCTTTTTAACTCTGCCTCTCAAAGAAATAAAATCTGAAAGCAAGCAAGCAAGCCTGCCTCCGACCCCAAGGAAGTTATCATGGACCTGAGTGTGTAGAGCCAACTATTACTATGAAAATGTTTTCTTTAAAAAAAAAAAAAAAAGTGACGTGGCACCGTGGCTCACTAGGCTAATCCTCCGCCTTGTGGCGCCGGCACACTGGGTTCTAATCCCAGTCAGGGCGCCGGATTCTGCCTCGGTTGCCCCTCTTCCAGGCCAGCTCTCTGCTGTGGCCAGGGAGTGCAGTGGAGGATGGCCGAAGTGCTTGGGCCCTGCACCCCATGGGAGACCAGGATAAGTACCTGGCTCCTGCCATCGGATCAGCGCGGTGCGCCGGCTGCGGCAGCCATTGGAGGGTGAACCAATGGCAAAAGGAAGACCTTTCTCTCTGTCTCTCTCACTGTCTACTCTGCCTGTCAAAAAAAAAAAAAAAAGTGACAGTAATGGAACTGCTAAATAAACCATTGTTCACACAGAGTGGCGGAGGTACAAGGGGTTGCTGTCTGTTGAGTAGGTGCAAATTCTAAGTGCAAACTGAATTCTGAATTCTTTAAATCATCTTTTTTAAAAAAGATTTATTTATTTATTTGAGAGGCAGAGAGAGAGAGAGAGGTCTTCCATCTGCTGGTTCACTCCCCAGATGGCTGCAATGGCTAGAGTTGTGCTGATCTGAAGCCAGAAGCTTCTTCCAGGTCTCCCACGTGGGTGCAGGGGGCCAAGGACTTGGGCCATCTTCCACTGCTTTCTCAGACCATAGCAGACAGCTGGATCAGAAGTGAAACAGCTGGGACTTCAACCCAAGCCCATATGGGTTGCCCACACTGCATGTGGCAGCTTTACCCTCTATGCCACATCACCAGCCCCTGTAAATCATCTGTATGCATGCCTTAGAGACTATGAACAAATACAAAAATATAAATAGCAACTGTCTCTGGACAGTGAAGTGAACGACAATATAAAAACTTTAAAAAATTTGTGGGGCCGGCATTGTGGTATGGCAGGTAAAGCCACCGCCTGCGGCGCCGGCATCCCATGTGGGTACCTGTTTGTGTCCCTGCTGCTCCACCTCTGATCCAGCACCCTGCTATGGCCTGGGAAAGCAGCAGAGGATGGTCCTAGTTCTTGGGCCCCTGCACCCACATGAGAGACCCAGATGGAGCTCCTGGTTCTTGGCTTTGGCCTGGACTGGCACTGGCTGTTGTGGCCATCTGGGGAGTGAACAGGCAGATGGGACACATCTCTCTCTTTCCTTGATTCTCTGTATAATACTTTCCAAACTAATAAATAAATCTATAAAAACAAATAAACATTTATTTGAGAGGCAGAACGACATACAGAGATGTCGCTCCCCCTCTTCATGGAGGAACGACACTAAACGAGGCCTAGGCTTCATATCCGAGTCACGGCACCATTATGTCGCTCCCCCTCTTCGTGGAGGAACGACACTAAGCCCTGCCTAGGCTTCGAATCCGAGTCACGGCACCATTATGTCGCTCCCCCTCTTCGTGGAGGAACGACACAGGACCCTGCGCTGTTCTTTTGTCTGCTCGGCCCTCCCCGGGTTTGCTGCTGGTTCTTCCCGGGTTGGCTGCCATCCCTACCACCTCCGTGGAAGGGCGGTTCCCCCTGGCCACATTCCCCACTTCCGCGGGGGAGCGGCACACCGCCGGCCGGCTCTCTCGGGGGCTGCACAGGTGTTCCTTCAGATGTTCCCCTTAGATGTTCCTAGTGCATGTTGTCTCTCTCCTCCTTTATAGTCCTCTTCCGCCAATCCCAACTCGGCTGCCCACACGCCGAGTACGCTGCTCTCCTCCAATCAGGAGCAGGATCAGCTCCTGGAGGTCATCACTCAAGTTGGCAAGAGGCAGCTGGGTAGAAGCTGCTTCCTCCTCTCCCAGTGCCATATTGTGGGAGAGCAGATGCATAGAATAAGTCTTAATTCCAGTAACTTAGTCTAGTCCGAGTTGCTCCCCACACAGAGAGAGGAAAAGGGAGAGTGAGCGAGAGCTGGTTTTTTCCCTCCCCACGTGAGTGGCAGGAACCACAGTAGCTGTGCCATCACTACTACCTCCGGAACCAGATGTGGGACAGGGGCTTCTCTTAAGATTTGTTTGAAAGGGAGAGTGACACAGAGGGAGAGAGGATGAGGGGGGAAGAGAGAGACCTTCCATACACTGGTTCCCTCCCCAGATGACCACAAAAGGCGGGGCTGGGCTGGGCCTATCCCAGGAGTCAGGAACTCCATCCAGGTCTCCCACATGGGTGCCAGGGAATTAACTATTTGAGCCATTATCTGCTGCTCCAGTAGCAGGATCAGGAAGTGGAGCAGCTGGGACTTGAACTGGTGCTTGCATATGGGATGTGCGTGTCCCAAGTAACAGTTTAACTGGTTTCAACACAACACCTATGCTGGGGCAAACGTTTACAAGCTTCTGCATTTTCCAAATACTCCAAAAATAAGTTTATATTTTGGGGAAAAGCATGCAATTAAAAATACGGGGGCTGGTGCTGTGGC